ATAAATGAAGGACGAGGTGACTATCCAAGGTCAGTTGTCACTAGAGAAGCCATCAAATCTGATTTTAGCACAGTCTAGGAACCAGATGCCAATTTGGAAGTAGAGCAGTTGCATCACTTACGTGCCATTGCAGGAGCAAAGAGGAAAGGGCTGTCTCCATCTAAGTACAGCTCCTTGTTAAAATACTTCAAGTATTACACAATATAGCAAAATTCAAAGACTACTTTTGAACAAATGCTATACCTACAGAAGATTACCTTCCAAGAACAACAGTATCACAAGACTGGTATTTTAGGGATAAACAATTGTGCATAGACTTTTAGCACTGCATAGTAACAAAACAGATTCACTCCTTAAGTGCATGCAGTAGATGAATGGTTTTCTGGAAGGTGATTTTAAGCCCATCAGGAAGCTCTAGGCTTCCTTCATTTCCACACAGACTTTCCAGAAATGCCATAAAATCTTTTTCAATTTTCCATAATATGAGACTGAGTTATGTCAATACACATTCACACTTCATTCACTACCCACATAAGCATCAAGGCCAGGATGTGAAACTGAGGTTTCTTCCTCAGAACTGGTTATCATATAAATCAGTTGGCAACCACAGAACTGCACACCCTCTGTTCCCTTGCTCAAGCATACTGACAGTTATTCCCTAGCAAATATCCTCCTCTTGCTCATGTGAGTACTGAAGGAACTGTCAGATGGAGCTGCTAAGCCACTATCCATCATATTTGAGAAATCTTGAGTTCACTTTAGTTACCACTGACTAGAAAAGGGGAAATGGAACCCCATTTTTCAACACCAAAAGACAACCCAGAGAAGCACAGGCCTGTCAGTATGTTTGAACAATAAACACCCACAATTGAATGCACCCTCAGTGAGTTTGCTGACCTGTGATGACACTACACACCAAGCTAAGTGGTGCAGTCCACACGCTGGAGGGAAGGGATGACATCCACAGAGACCTTGAGAGGCTTGAGAGGTGGGACTGGGTGAACCTCATGAAGTTCAGCAAGGCCAAGTGCAAGGTCCTGCAGGCAACCCCAAGCACACATACAGGCTGGGCAGGTAATAGATTGAGAGCAGCCCTGAGGAGATCTTCAGGGTGTTGGTGAATGAGAAGCTCAACACGAGCTGGCAGTGTGCACTTGCAGCCCAGAAAGCCAAACCACATCCTGGGTGGCATCAAGGGACGTGTGATCAGCAAGTCAAGGGAGGTGATTCTCACTCGCCATTCTGCTCTTGTGAGACCCCACCTGGAGTACTTCATCCATCTCTCAGGTCCTCAGCATAAGGATGTGGATCTGTTGGGAGTGAGTCCAGAGAGCGACAACAACGACCAGAAGGCTGGAACACCTCCCCAAGATGACAGGCTGATAAGAGATGGTGTCGCTCAACCTGGGGAAGGCTCCAGGGAGGCCTTTAGGCAGCCTTCTACTACCTAAAGGGGCTACTAAAGACCTGGAGAGGGAATTTTTACAAAAACATGTAGTAATACCAGAAGGGGGAATAGATTTAAACTCAAAGAGGATGGGTTTAGATTAGGTATTAGGAAGAAATTCTTTACTGAGAGACACTGGAACAGATTGCCCAGAACAGCTATGGATGCCCCATCCCTTGAAGTGCTCAAGACCAGGCTGGATGGAGCTTTGAGCAAGCTGTTATGGCAGAAGGTGTCCCTGCCCAGTGCAGGGGAGCTGGAACTGGATGGTCTTTAAAGTCCCTTCCAACTGCAACCATCCTATACTTCTGTACAATAGGAAAAGGATTGAGACTCAGAGCAATATCTTTCTCATGGAAATTCTAACTGCCTCTGTGGTGGAATCACAGACAACAGCCCCTCTACCTGACATCCAGTATTACAAACTTTGCTGTTGGAAAAAGGGGTATTAAGCCTTACAGGTTATTGCAAAGGGAACAGTTAATAAATGCCTTATTGTTCTTTAGCTTTAAGTGGCAAACAAAGTTAAGCTAACATGGAAAAACACAACCTAAATGAAAATTCTTTTGAAGATGATTCTAAATTGTTGGTTTTGTTGCACATACCAAATACCAAACCTCCATTCCTATGGAAAACAACTCTTACCTCCAGAAAGTCTCCCTGTCCATGGCAGGGAGATTTGGGACTAGATGATCTATAAAGTCCATTCCAACCCCTAAAATTCTATGATTCTATGAAAGTCAGCAAGCACACAGTCCCCTCTGGGACTGCTCACATTAAAGAAAGTTTACAGGCAAAATTCCATTCAACAGATTTTATTTATCAATTTGGTTTTGTGATTACAACTGCTTCTTTTTTTTTCCACTGAAGACAAAATACAAACTTTTACAGCAACACTTGCAGAGAACATTCATAAGGTAACAGCTTGATATTTGTACAAGTTGGCTTCAAGAAAAAGCCAGAAAACTTGAAGTCACTACAATTCAGTGCCTAAAATTGATTGAGGGGCAGATACAACTACAGATCTATGAGCTACCTTCCACTTCAAAACACAAGGCCAAGAAAAACTGCAAGTTGTTACTTCAGGTTTTTTTGCTAGGAACACATCACAGATCAGCTGATACTGCCATTTCACAAAGGAGTAATTACTTTCCACAGTGAGGCAGCCAAGCACATGGTGAAGACGTATAACCCAGCCTCCCCTCCCCCCAGACAGCTAAAAGGGAAACTATTCGAGCCACAGCTCTAAGCTGTGCATTTATACCTTCTTGGCAAGGCTGATGAGCAAGCAGTGTGTAGTGCAGGCCTTCCAGAACGTGACTAAATTGACACAGCACAAACTTGAGTTTTTCAGCTAGGTATCTGTACATGTCAGAGATCCTGGGTTTCCTAGTCTTGGAAAATAGCAATTGCTGGCACCACAAAAAATTCAGTAACTAAGGCAAGGTATCCCTTCTACCCTTTTAAACAAAATTTGAGGCAAACAATTAAGCAATTTTAAGGCACTTTAAATATTATTTTTAGTTTGCTTTATCAGCAGCCTAAAACAGGATCAGCGTAGCTCATGAATAAGCATTTCAGCAACATTTTACAGAGCAACAATTTTTTTTTGGTGGCAATGTCTTCCATGCTATGAAGTGTCCTTTAGGACCTTTCTGTAAGTTTCCCAAGAGAGCCCTTTGAGGCCAAAAATTATACACCAGGCATAGTTTGCTTTGCTGAGCTGAAGGCAAACTGTCAACATTTCAGAAGAGCATTTTACTCACTTCAAAGCACAGAATATGAGTTCATGGATATCTTTTAAAACAAATAAATGTGACAAAATAGTTCTTCGATAGGGAAAGGACAGATTTAAGTGATTTAATAATAAGGCCAAGGATATACCATCTAACTCATGCACATACTGTTGCTGGAAACTGGCTGCTCACTGCTGTTTTCAAAAACCTGAGCTGATTGTCTTAGTTTTGTTTAGAAAACCAAAAGCTAATGAACTCAAAGTTACAGTACTGGTGAGTAACCTCTGTATTTTGTAGCAATTTGAGTTTTCTATGCAGCACAACACAAACAATGCCATTCAAACTAAAAGAGCACAAGAAAGCAACAAACTGCACTTTCAGTTTCCATGTGCAGTGCACTTAAGTTTGCTTCATATTTTAAGTTTCACTGCCAGGACTATCATATGCACTGATGCTATCATTTTGATTTGGGTGCCAAACTCCAGTCAAGTCAGAGCTAGTAAGACAGTGCTACAGATTATCCCAAAACTGATGATCAAGGGATATCATCAGAAGCTAATGCATTATGTGCTACATCCACCACTTGATTTTATATTTACTTTCATTTTTCCCGTGGGTTTATATTCACAGGTGCTCAAGTCAGTCTGCATTGGAGATAACGTACCTTTGATACTCAGATCTCAAGGCTAATCCAGCCAGAAAAAAAATACTATTTGGCTGAATAGATTTCCTTAACCAGTTCACTGCAGGGTGACACAACCCTGATGCGAGGAAGTGGGGAAAGAAAAAGGGTGTAGCCTGCAGTCCCAGGACTACAGCAAACCTGACTAGGATCAAATCAGCAGATCCTCTGAACTATACTTTAGCAAGCAGACATACAGGAGGGCAAAAAAAGAAAAAAAACAACCACCCAAACTCCTGAAATTAACTGCAACAAGTTTAAGAACTGTTTGAATAAGTAAAAAACTTCAGGATTTCCCAAACATCAGTACTTCAAGTATAACTGAGCTGTTGCCTTTTCATCCAGGGAGTGAACTGAATTTTATCACTAGTTGTATGCTTGGTCTTTGTTAGCCAGAACAAAAAGTAAACAAGTCACAGCTTCTGTTTGCAGCTGAACATTTCTGTACCATGAGCCTCACTCTAAAACAAGGTCAATAAGGAACAAGTTATTCTAGTGAAAAAAATATTACACTGGAATGCACAAGTCACATGTATTCCATTTTCCTATGTAAAGCTAGTACTTAAAAGTTTTATTTATCTTTGAGATAGGTGGGACACTCTTACAGCCTACTGAAATTTAGTCTTTTAAGGCACTAATACTCATTTCCCCTTTAGAAGGATTACCCCTACACATCCACCCTCAACGTTAATTGGAAAGGGCATCGGAATCCTGTTTGGAACGAACTATTTTATGAGGCAACTTTTATTTTTGTGCTAAAAAAAAGGGTTATGTTGTTCTGCTAAGAAATGATCTAATTCTACATTTTCATCCAACTTTCTAGCAGCATGCTGCAAGAGCCATAAGCTAGTATAAATGCTATTTCACTCCCTGAAGTCAGTCACCAATAATTCACATCTTGATAAAACTGAAGGGATACTGTTTGAAATGTTGATTAAATTTAGCCTTCACAATAAGTCATCAAGAGATTGTCTACTCGACAGTGTTGCCACTGAATAAGAATCTCTGAACGTCTACATTTGGCATATCAAAAAAAAGTCCCACAGCAGCCGCCACTAAAGGAAAATAAAACAGCCATTAGAACCCATGCAGCATATTGCAAGTA